TAAATTAATATATAGGATATTTATTCCAAATAATGATCTTGTTTATTTCATAATATAATATTTTTATAATATAAAATTATACAATATATTTATTGATTAATATAACATACTTTGATTAAATTTTTTATTTTTGTTTGTAGATGTGAAAAGATCTATTGAATTACTAGATAAATTACAAAAAGGTAAGTGACTAGCTATATTTTAGTAAAAAGTGAATTTAAACAGTAAAAATATATTAAATATTATTGCAAAAATTACCTTGTTTATGTAGGTCTTTATATTGATCATTCCTTCATAATGTTCTTCGTTTAATTTACTTTCTTATGTAGATCATGTATGTGATTTTACTTTGTAATACATGTTTATTTAATAGGTATAATTTTAATATGTTTATACATGTTAGTCACATAACTTTTAGGTGGCGAAGTACCTGCAACAAAATTAGCTGCTTTACAAAAAGTTTTACAAAGTGATTTTCTCAGTGCTGTACGTGAAGTATACGAACATGTATATGAAACTGTGGACATTCAGGTATAATATAATTAAATATTAGTGCATATATATAATTTATTTAGTTTTTTCATTATGACAACATTTGTTATATAACTGTTACAAACTACAACAATGTAGAAACAAATTATAAGTCATAATATTATAAATTACATATTATAAATAATAAAACTAATAACTTAATTTTAAAGTGAAACTTAATTTTATAAGCTGTTCACCACAAAATTACTACAGATATTGGCTTCACTGTTTTTTTTTTTCTTTTTTTTTAAATAAATGATACATTGAGACTAATCAACTTTTTTCTTATTTTATAAAGTTAAAGAGTTATATTTTATGTAATTAAAGTTATATTTTATATAATTATAGAGTAACAAATACTTTCTTTATGGAAAAATGTTAAGGTAATTTTAAAGTATATCAAATTAAACATTCTCCAGATTATAAAACAATTTATTCAATGTTCAAAATTCTGTTTCTATTTCTAAACATTTATTAAGTTTTCCATGAGTGTTATTTTGATCATTTGTTGACATTAACTAACCAAACTAATTAACTAAAGCCTAAGAAATATATATTATTTTCATATCTTTCCTTTTTATAAGAGGAATAGTCATCTCTTAATAATATATATTAATCTATAAAAAGAAATTTAATAACTATAATGTTCCTAAAAATTGATCACCTAATAAAATAATTTCCAACGTAGAATAAGTTTATTTTAGCATTTTCTGTTACACAGTTCTTCCTGAAAAAAATATTCTTTGTTAATTTTCTAATTATGCAAACTAAAAAAAATAAATAAATGTCAATGTAGTTAAAAGAAATGTGGAAGGTAAAACTTATTTCCATAGCAATTACATTAGAAAAATTTGTTCCTATTACTGTAAACAATGATTTTGGAGAAAATAGTTAACTTTAATTTGATACATTATGGTTAACATATGTTTTTAGGTCATAATGATATTGATTCCCATAGATTTGGTATATGTAATATATTTTTAAATATCACACATTTCAATGATGACAATTAAAAATAGTATTAAAAATAATAAGGATTAAAATAATATCAATAATAATCATAATAATTTTAGGGGTCCCAAGATGTTCGTGCATCAGCTACAGCAAAAGCAACAGTTGCTGCTTTCGCAGCAAGTGAGGGTCATGCACATCCACGAGTGGTAGAACTACCAAAAACTGAAGAAGGTCTTGGTTTTAATGTAATGGGTGGTAAAGAGCAAAATTCACCAATTTATATTTCACGAATTATCCCTGGTGGTGTTGCTGATCGCCATGGTGGTTTAAAACGTGGTGATCAACTTCTTTCTGTTAATGGAGTGGTTAGTTTTGTTATTTTTTTAAAAATATCATTTAGTCATTTTTTTAATAGACTCTAATTTTTTTATGATTATGAAATCATATATAGATTCTAATGAAACACTACTTAGAATTTTTATGTCTAAAACAAAATTGTGTGCTGTGAACTATATATATATATATATATATTATTACATACTTTTATAAATACAATCCAGAAGTATTTAATTTAGCATACATTATACATGTCTATCGAGGAAAGTATTTGGTTTACTAAATACAATCAATGTATGCAAAAGTATTGAGATAAGTATGCAAAATATGTAAAATATAATGTATGCAAAAATATTTTAGATAAGAAAAATTAATTGCTAAAATATTAAAAATTTAGAAACAGTTCGTATACAAAATTTCAGGTAATATATTTTGTAGTGTTTTTATTGTTTTATTGTTATTTGGTATTTTAGAGTAGTTTTCATGAAATTATTAAAGTTTAATATATTCCTCATTTAATGTATAGAATGTGCTACTAGTGACAATGCAAACAAAAATGGGGTAACTTTTCGTGTAAAAATAAATTAAAGATATGGAATAAGATTTTTTCTATTTATATCTTTTTCTTACAAACATTAATTTTGAAAAATTATAAAATTTGTTTAATTAATTGTTTTTTGTTTAATACTTAGCTATGGGGGTTACATGTAATAACAATAGAAATATTTTCAATCATTCCTTATAAGAATTATTCTTACAATTCTTAATGATTATAAATCTAAAAGTGGTATAAAGGTATCTATTAATACATTGACCTGTTAACATTCTTGAGCACAGTCACAAATAAAAATAATTTCATTTATTTATGTGACTATTATAATAAAAGCACTGTTCAGTATACAAACAGATATTACCTGTTTAATGTATATTTGTTTTTCAGTGTGTGGAAGGAGAAAACCATGAGAAAGCAGTAGAACTATTAAAACAAGCACAAAATTCTGTGAAACTAGTTGTGCGATATACTCCTCGTGTTCTAGAAGAAATGGAATTGCGATTTGACAAACAAAGAGCTGCACGTAGGCGCCAACATATGCAGTAAAAATAAAAATTGTTACATTTCATTACTTTCTATCAGTGAACCAACTAACTATCTATATATTGATATCATTTAAATGTTCCTTCATTATTCTTACATTATGAAGTCATTTAAGCAATGATATTTATGAGACTTTAATTTAATAATACTTTACAATTATTGCAACTATTACTGCTTTTTATGTTTAAAATAATACTGTGTATAAATGTTATATAGTTTTAAGAAATAAACTAGAAAAATAAAACAAAATTTGTAGTTTAATATTTCAATTTTTCATTTTGTCATTACTGTGAAATATGATATATTATTATATATTATCGTTATTATTATCGTTATATATTATTATAAAAGTTTCAATAACAACAAATATCCTTTACACATAAAGTGCAAAAATCACGAACAGGATTAAAAAAGATATGTATTTGTAAAATTCTATAAATAAAACAATATAAACAATTAAAATTGTTTTTATTAATTAAAAATTATAAAAATTTAGAAATCAATTTTTAAATTTATTTACCAACACCAATAAATACTAATAATTTATGAAATTTTGAATCAATTTTAGGTTTATTTTTAATAATTCAAATTATTTTAAATTATTTTTATTATCGATACATTATTATCCAAATAATAATTTAGCATTTTTTAGAATTTTTCATATGTATTATAAAAGATCTAAATTCAGGATGATTAATTAATTTATTTCGTATAAATAAAGCATCATTTATTTTAGAATATATATTTATATTGCACGAAATTAATGTTATTATTTTTTTTAATTAAAAATAGTTTGAATAATCGAAGTAACAATTTTTTTAATTTCAATAATAACAACTCTTTAGATTATATTTTACTTTGAGGTCAAATATATTTTTGAGGTACAACAGTAATTACAAATTTATTATTAGCAATTCCTTATATTGGTAAATTTTTAGTTGAATGAATTTGAGGTGGATTTTCAATTAATAATGCTACTTTACGTTTTATTTTAATATTAATTCTTATTCATTTAATTATTTTACATTTTTATGAATCATCAAATCCTGTAGAAATAGAGATAACTATAAAATTTCTTTTCATCCACATTTTTCTATTAAAGATATGTTAGAATTTATTTTAATTTTAATATTTTTTTGTTTATTAATTTTCAATCCCCTTATTATTTTAGAGCTCTAGATAATTTAGAAATAACAAATTCAATAATTACGTCTACTCATATTAAATCTAAATGATATTTTTCATTTGCTTATTCAATTTTGCGTTCAATTTTTATATTACTTATATATTATAAATAATGAAATACTGAGTTCTGATAAATATTATAAATAAATATTATAAGCGTAACAATTAAAATGAAGAATGTAAAATTAATGAATACAAAATTTTCAGTTATCAACCGATGTAAAGTTCGCAAAAAATGTTGATGACCTTAATCAAAATATCAATTTCATATTTTATTTATGAATACCTATATTTATGGTATATGTCATCTTCAAACCGTCATTTATTCTAATCTTTACAAAAATTTCTTTAATAGTAAAAAATTAAGTATGCTAAATTTTCTAAGCTATTTGAAAGATTTCATTGATGATAAATGTAAAATGTTTATTAAATTTCTGAAATTAATTGAATTTCATTTATTATAAAAAAAATCAAACTAGAAGAAATATTTCTATTATACGTTATATGTTACGAAGTATATGATAAATATATTAATTAAACATATTGTAAATACAAAAGTAGTCTAATTTTATATTTTCCCTCCAGGTAATAGTATTATGTGTTGACGTAGATCAGCGCTATTCATGAACAAATCTTCTGTAATTTTTTATTTTATACATAATTTTTAGGTACAAAAAATTAATACTTTTACAAAAAGAAATCATACACATTTATATAAAATCATGTTTATATGTTTTGAAATAAATATAGTGACGATAATATTTTTATACATGCAATAGTATTGGTAATAGGTAGGGGAAACTTTGCTGATTAACTGGACAATACTGGATTATAAATTTATCGAATGAACCAATCTAAAAAGCAAATTATTATGGTGGTGTAAAAGTCGCTGGACTTTAAACAACCTTTAATTTTGCTGGCTCATTACGAAGATTTTATATAAGTTTGGATCGATCAAAGTTTTTAGTTTTTAGCTTACTTTAAGTAACTCTAAATTTGACATAATGAGAGGACCAGACGAATTACGTTTTGACGGTCGAGTAGTTATAGTAACTGGAGCTGGAGCAGGTAATTATTCTTATTTTTTAATCTATTTACATATTATTTATGTTTTTAATTTCCTTTCTAGGTTTAGGTCGTGCATATGCTTTGCTTTTTGCTTCAAGAGGTGCCAGTGTTGTTATAAATGATTTAGGTGGAAGTAGACATGGTGATGGAAGCAATAGTAAAATTGCAGATACAGTTGTCAATGAAATTAAAAGGAATGGTGAGATAATATGTTTAATATGTATTTGACTATTATTATGAATATGTATCTAACATAAAGTTGTATATATATAATTTTGTAATTGTATATATATAATTATATATAATTTTGAAATTAAATGGGAGATTATTCATTTATAATCAACAAGATATATTATGATAAACTAATAGGTGGAAAAGCAGTGGCCAATTATGATTCTGTTCTTGATGGTGCAAAAATTGTCAAAACAGCTATTGATGCATTTGGACGGATAGATATAATTGTTAATAATGCTGGAATTTTAAGAGACAAATCTTTTGCTAAAATGTCAGATACTGATTGGGGTATATATGATTTTTTATTATTCCACATAAACTTTTATTTTCTTAGGTTAAAACTATAAGTATATATGTTAAATTTCAGATCTGGTACAAGGTGTTCATGTAAAAGGAGCTTTTAAAACAACTCAAGCTGCTTGGCCCTATTTTACTAAACAAAATTATGGCAGAATAATAATAACAGCAAGTAACAGTGGCTTATATGGAAACTTTGGTCAAGCCAATTATAGTGCTGCAAAAATGGGTCTTATTGGCTTGGCTAATACATTAGCTATTGAAGGCAGAAAAAGAAATATACATACTAATGTAATAATACCAACAGCTGCTTCTCGTTTAACAGAAGATATATTACCACCAGGTGGATATAATATTTAATACATACAGTAGTTATAACACGTTTTATTTAATCATTAATTAATCTTAAATGTATCATGTTTTAGAATTCTTTGAGCAGTTAAAACCTGAACTAATAGCCCCTGTAGTTGTTTGGCTTTGTCATGAAAAATGTATAGAAAATGGATCCATTATTGAATCTGCATTAGGTTGGGCAGGAAAATGTAAGTATAGAACATAAAATTAGAGAAATAAAGGTATAAGTATTTCTATTAATTTGTGCTTAAGAATTTTACCACAATTATAAAGTGGAAAGCTTTAAACTTTTACAGTTAAGACAATAATAAAAATAAGAAAATTTTTTTCAAACATTATGTTTTAAATCATTTATTATTTATAATTAAAAAAGGAATAGAAAATTTTGTTCTCTTTAATCACTGATAATCTTTTCTTCTGCTACTTCAATATTATGGTTCACTTTACATAATATGAGTTTGTAACTGAGAAATTTATTAACATTTATCTCATTAATATCATGCTCTATAGCAACATATTGCTTTAGTCATAAAAATGATGTTAGCAAAAGTTAGTATTATGTTTAATTTCAGTAATCATTGACATACTGTCACTGATATGTATATTAATGAGTTCAGTTACATAAGTAATAATTTTCAATGAAAAAATTATGCATCTTTTATAAAGAAACAATTATGAAGAATAAAAGATCTATTTAATATGTTAATATTCTTTTAGGTCATGTAATTCGTTCATCAGGATCTGTATTAAGACAAAATTTGTCAAATGAAGTCACCCCTGAAGATGTTGAAAAAAGATGGTCGGCTATTACTGATATGTCAGCTGCTAAACATTTTGATTCTATTGAAGTAAATAATCATTTTTTATTTTATGAAAAATTTATTTTAATAATTTATTAATTTATTCCTATAAATTATAGGAAGTAACAGGACAACTTATGGGTGCAGCTGAAGCAATGAAGTCTGAAAATTCTGCAAATTCTGATTCACAGGTAATTAAAACAATTATTTTGTAACTTAAAATTAAATATTATTATACTTTTCTTTCTCAGGACGATGGTATTCTTAGACATACTTACAACGATCGGGATACCATATTATATGCATTAGGAGGTATAATTATTATTATATTTTGACTATAATTATAATTATTAATTGTCAATGATTATTACAAAACTAAAATATACAATTTTTACTTTAGTTGGCGCTTCTGTTCAAACACCAGCTGATTTTCGTTATTTGTATGAAAATGATAGTAATTTTGCTGTATTACCTACATATTATGTTATTTATGCCCCAATGTATTGTATGGAATCTTCTATATTTGACAAATACTTACCAAATATTGAAGTGAATCCAATGAAGGTAATTTATTTTACATAAATGATTTAAAACAATATTTTTCTTAATTTATTATTATTTCAGATATTACATGGAGAGCAATATATTGAAGTTCATAAACAATTACCACGAGAAGCTACAGTTGAGACACGTTTCAAAGTTGTGGATGTATTGGATAAGAGGAAGGGTGCCTTAGTTGTGGTGCAACGTACGCGAAGATATGAATTTTATAAATAACGTTATTTGATTTTATGTAATAAATAATTCATAAACTTGGATTTATTTTTTCAGATGAAACATTTGATACCAGTAATGGAGATAAATTATCTACAGGACAAATGATAGCATTTATAATAGGAGCTGGTAATTTGCAAGGAAAACGAACATCTTCAAATATTATACCAATTATCGATCCTCCGAGTCGTCAGCCAGATGCATCGATGAAACAACAAACAAATTACGATCAGGTAAAAAATAACTACATTTTTTATATATTTAATAAATTCGAATTTAAATTAACTAACAAATAAATCGTTGGTAATAAATCTGATGTGATAACCATTTATTTATCGCAACATTTTTTCTACATAGAGGAATACTTACTACAATTTTAATAATACATTATTACTTTATTAATTTACTTTATTAATTCCTTTATTAAAATAATATATTCAAAATTGAATAACAGACAGTAATGTTCAAAATGCTATAATGATAAAAATAAATAATGATGATAAGAAAGGAAATAATGGTATACTAGAAATATGTGCTACTTTTATATCACAAAAATACTGTACAGAATATTGTATTTAAAAGATAATGGGCATCATTAATAGCGTATTTTCTTAATTAGTATGATTTTTTAATCATTTTAATTTTTTTATTTATAGGCTGCATTATATAGATTAAGTGGCGACAGAAATCCTTTGCACATTGATTCAAATATATCAATAATGGGAGGCTTTAAACAACCAATTCTACATGGATTATGTTCTCTTGGATTTTCTGTTCGTCATGTTCTTCAAACTTACGCTGGCGGTGATCCAAGCCTATTTAAGGCTGTAAAGGTAGATATTCATATAATTAATGTTATTTGCATAAGGGTGAGGCACCTAATACAGGCCACCTGAATAACTTGCTTGCTTGTAATAATAGAAAAAGAGTGTCAGGTAGAAGGTTTCAAGGAGCAAATAGCATGATATTAATAGTTTTTTTGTTGGTGTAGGCATAGAGGAAATATGAAGGTTAAACTTGTTTTTTTGAATGGGATAATATTGTTTTTTATTTATATTCTGATAGAGCTTTTCAAGATGAATACAATGACCTATAAATGAAGGTCATTTCAAGGTATACAAGGTCAACTGTAGTATCTTACTAAGTTGCATATTGGCGTAAAGTGTTCGAAATTATGACCCTGTACTTCGATGCATTTCCTAAGGTGTGCTGATACGGAAGATAAGTATTGTGTTGATGAGAGCTTATTAGGCACATAAGTACGGTTCTTGCGATGTCTGGGTTGTATGCCTATAACCCGCAGATGATGGGTACGAATACTCGTGCTTCATCCAAACGGCACAAGGTCAGATTGCATAGGGAAATTAACCGCAAGACTCGTCGTCAGCCATAAGGAGTTTTATTCTGGGATTACTTCTGATTTGGCTAGATATGAGGCATTCAGTGGCACTCAACACTGAGTTCTAAGGGGACCGTAAGGAGGTGAGATAAGTTGACTTGGCCGGTGTAGGCCTGCTAGCTTGGCCAAAATTAACTGCACCGCTCAGCGGCTATGATTAATATCAGCTACATCAGCCCTAACCCTCAGATATGAAAGACACTGCACGTCAAATTTCATTCGAATCAATTGCAATGCCAACTATTATACGCTCCTTCATGTTTTCTCTGCTTGCTGATATTTCGCCGTACACTTTTTGCTTCAATTTTCCCAGAAATGAAAATCCATAAGTATTAAGTCTGGGGAATGCATGGGCCACCTATTATTTCCTGACCGACTGGCTCAACTATTTCTAAATATCCTGCAAGACATCTATCTTGCTGGTACCACATTGACTGTCATATATGTCTAAAGGAATATCTTCTAATAGCAGTGGCAAATTTCTACTAAAATCTGGATATATTTGTGACTATTTAATTGATATCGTGCTATGTGCTCCTCAAAATCAAACAACTTTTGCCTGACACTTTTTTTCTATTATTACAAGCAAGCAAGTTATTCAGGTGACCTGTTTTAGATGCCACATCCTACATATTTCAATGCTTTAACACTTTCATGGCAGGGCATTTTGGGCTATATTTTTTATTACCAACGAGCACTAAACCACCATTAATTATTATAAGAAACTATTAAAATTGTTATTATATGAATTTTTGGATATAATAATCATATTCTTTTATTTAAAGTATTAGAAATTTTGAATATAAATATGTGATGCTCATTATTTAATTTGATTTAAATTAGATAGACTACTCTTTTCAACTGTAAAGGATTATACTTATCTTTAGCAATGAATTTAATCAATCTTATCTAACTATACTAAATAAAGATAAAATACTAGATTCACTTAAATGTGACGTTCATTGCCCGGTAACGCCCGTTAACGAGTACAATCACATATAAGGAACATCCGCTGATAATCTCTGCAAGCATAGATATATATACGTAGTATCTGTCATAAAAGTGTTATGCATGCAATATATACAACTGAATCAATTATTTGGTTACATTTCCAAGACTTAAAGTATTGTTTTTCAAATATTTAAATCATTGAATATTGTATGTAAATTAATTTTATTAATAAATTGTAGACTCGTTTTGCAAGAACAGTAATTCCAGGACAGACATTGCGAACAGATATGTGGCAAGAAGGAAATAGAATACATTTCCAAACATATGTTGTAGGAGAAAATTCGCCAGTTTTAACAGGTAAATTAATAGAAATTATATATTATCTATGTTTCACATAGTAACTGTATGAGATATAATATATTATTTTTTATAATATTTTAGAAACAAATGAATAAAATAAATTTTTAATTATATATTTTAACTATTAAAATAACATCCATTTAATTTCATGCTTAACTAAATTATAACTATGCCCTTTAAAATATATTGAATTTTTTATGATAAACTTAAAACACAATTTCATGAAAAATAACTAAGGATAAGCATATACTATTATAATTCTTAACTGACCATATATTTTTGAGTAAAGTACTATTTTTATTATTACATATTTCAAACAAAAACCAGTTGTAGATAATCAAACATGAATTTCATATTTTTCGATTTCATGTAAGGAAATTGTTGAAATTAATCATAAAATTTCATGTAATTACTTTTTTTGTTAGAAATGACTACTAAAGATAATAATTTAAATTTCTCAATTACAGGTGGTTATGTCGATTTAAAACGCACAATATCCATGGAGCCAACAGTGAATCTTGTATCTGGCAGTGAGCCTCTTGAAAGTGATGCAGTTTTTAAAACAATTGGTGAATATGTAAAAGCAAATCCAGAACAAGTGAAGAAAATAAATGGAGTATTTCTTTATCATATTTTAGTGAAAGAGCAACCTAAAGCAATATGGAGTAAGCATATTTGTTTATGTTAATTAAGACTTTCTGAATATAGTTTTCAATCGATTTTTATTATTCCAAAAAGCTCTAGATTTGAAAAAACCTGAAGTATATAAAGGAAAACCGAAATCAGGCACAGCTGATGCAACATTAACTCTTGAAGATACTGATATGATGCAAATGGTAAATCTTCATTTAATATAGATTTATTTATATAATTACTATTATTTCGTGCTAACATGATATTTTAATTAGTATATTTATTATATCAATTACTTTATTCATAGGCTTTAGGTAAATTAAATCCACAAATGGCATTTATGCGAGGAAAGCTAAAGATTTCTGGAAATATTATGCTTACTCAAAAATTAAAAACACTTATAGAAGCTGGTAAATCAAAACTGTAGTATTAAAAATATTGTTGAATTACAGTCGAATTTGTTATTAAATATTTTTATAGCAGTTTTTATTTACTTTGGATATTAGTAGCATGGCTAGGGGCAAAACAGGACTTAAATATTAACATATTTGTTTTATACTGTGAATTTACAAATTATATTTCTGTACTGAATTTTTAATAAATCTAAATATATATATTTTATTACTTTAAATTTTTATATTTTTTTCAATTTTTATCAATATCAAAATAAGATAATCAAATAAAATGGATTAATTTTATTATTATTATGATTTTATAATTATATAGAATTAAAAAAAAATCGTTTGATTCTTATTTGCCTCTATATTATTTACAGATTTTTAAAGTTCTTTTTGTAAAAATTGATTATTTTCAGATTTTAAAAAAGTACATTCAAAATTTGATGTATCTTTTCATTATCATATCTTTGATATTCGAAAAATTAAATTCCTCTTTTCCTTTAAACAAAGATTACTATATTTTGATACCAATTTTTTTCTATCAATAATCATTATTAACCGTAAATTATCAATCTTTTTAATAGATATTTTTTCGTATTTGTAAAAGTAGTACCAATCTAATTGAATAAAATCTGATACATTCACCATATTTAATTGTTGATGCACTTATAACTATTGAATTAACATTTGAAAGTTAATCGTAAGATTTCGTAGACGCAAGATAAGTGCCATACACAAAATATTGAACCTTTGTGGCGGAAAAAAAAGTGAATATCCTGAGGAAAACTTTCCAAATATACTATTTAGACTGCTTAGCTGCATTTTTATTCCGACATCGATATAATTTTGACTATCCTATAATTAAATTTTTTGCAATTATGCCCGAAATATTTCCAATTTCACATAATAGAAATAAAGTATAAAATTTAACGGATATTATAATTCTTTTAAGTAAATTTGCAATTTTGTGACTTTTTACTATTTTGAGTACTAATATTTTAGGTAGTTTTATATATTTACAAAAGTTACAATTTAACTGATTTAAATGATTTTAAATTCCGATTTACTAATATAGCCTAACGCTATCTAATGATAATCATCGTCAGGTGGCTAACCATGCATGTTGTAATTCAAAATCATTGAAATTAATGGATATATATAAGGAAAATTTATGAATTGGTAAGTAATGTGACCCTTCACCCATTACGTCATATAGTCAAAATTTTCATACAATGTATGCAATGCATTGATCACTTAAAGAAACAATTAAGTATACAACAAATCGTACAGAAATACATATGTATATCTTTAAAAAATTAGAGAATAGGCATTTATTTTCTATAAAAATTATAAAATATAGAGTAAATACTATAATGTTAGTTATTTTTATTTATGGTTCAGCATTTAGTAATACGTAAAAATGATTCAGATAAAATATTATAAATTGTTCCTTCAAAATTATTACAGTTACTGATATAAATTTCTTTTTTATTAAATATGACAATCAGTTTACAACAATATCATATCATCATTTTTGTTATTTAGATAATTATTAGCAAACTGAGTAATATTTACTTCAAAATATTTTTTTATTTTGCATCAATATATTATTAAAAGATTAAAATATAGATAAAAATTTTGTAATCTAATTCTTTTTATAAACAAATAGATTAACAAATTGATTTGTACTTTTTAATAAAACAAGAAAATTATAATTATATAAAATTATGCCATAATAAAGTATAATATGAAACGATATCAATATACAGCGCCAGAATAAATTTGCACTTAATTTATAGAATACATTCATGGAAAGTCAAATTATTAAAGCAAATTCACAATGCGACTACGCCAAACTATTTCGAAACCAGCGCACCTAGTGGCTTTACGAAGTATTACACACTTCAAATTTGATGTTCAAATCGTAACGAATAATTTTTTAGTAAATTTCAAGATACGAAAATAATAATCTTGAAACACAATCTACAAAAGTTCTTGACAGTAACAAAACTCAGTGTAATTTAAATAATAATAAAGATGAACGATACACGCTCTAAAAAGAAAGAGAAGTGTCAGCACATACAGGTGTTTGTTCGTGTTAGGTAATTGAATGAGTTTTGTTTCAAATTTTCATTGCAAGAAATTGTCAATCAAAAGATGAAAATCAAAAATTAAGTTATTTAAAACCAAAAATTAAATCTTCAAATTAAGTTATTTTAATAAATAAAATACATTAATATTTTATGCGTCATAGACGTTATGTTTGTTATAATATTATTAATGTAGTGAAATGTAAATAAAATATGTAAACTATAAAATTTGATATAAAAAAAGATTTGATCTTTATATTATAGGTGATATATTTTTTCCTTTATATTAAAGCTAAATAAATTTAAATAAATTTATTAATAATATTCACTGCAGAACACCCGTTCAAATATATAATTCAATAATAATTAATATAGTTTACTCCTATATAGAAGGTCTAATCTTGACTATCTGTTAATACCTAATTTTTTATTTTTGTTAGGCCAATAAATAATTCTGAACAAAATAATAAGTCTACAGATATATTAGAAATTGTTAATGATAATGAGATAATAATACATGAACACTCACAAGATAAATTTTCTAGAAAGTTTAAATTTAATAATATATTTGGACCTTCATCAAAACAGGTATATTCTTATAAATAATAAACACATATATTTAAATTAAGAATATATTTTTTAAAATATTTTTATATTTTTTGATAGATCGATGTATATAATATTGTTGTTAGTCCATTATTGGAACAAGTTTTAGCTGGATATAATTGTACAGTTTTTGCATATGGTCAAACTGGTACAGGAAAAACATTTACAATGGAAGGAATTAATAATTATGCAAATTTACATTGGCACAGTGTAAGAAATTCTTTATATAAAGTTATTTATATAATATAAAATTTATTTCAGCAATAATTTAAATATAAATTACATAATAGTAAGTATTTAATTAAGTAATGAAAATAATCAACATTAATATAAAACATTTACATCGAAGTACAATATAATTGTAGTTAAGTAATTTACAAAAATATCAAATGATGAATTACAAGTGTACTGATAAATAATAAATTAAGAACAAATTGTACATTCGTTGTTCACAAAATATTGAAATATCGTATTAGAAATAAAGTAATAATAATAATAATTACTTAAAAGGTATTTTTCAAAGTAATAAGGAATAGTGAAAAAAGATATACATTTGCATTATTATAATTTGAAAATAAATGTCATATCATTATTTCTTTATTATTGTTGTAAAATAGATATAACATGTATAATAAATATTAATAGTCTTTATTTATTAATTATATAAGATATAAAGTAAAAGAATTAATGTCATATTAAAATATAAAATGAAATATATAATATGTAATGTTATTTATATTTAATATAGGACTCATCTGCTGGTATGATACCACGATCTTTAAGCCACTTATTTGACAAGCTAGAATTACTGGAAGTACAAGAGTATACAATTAAAGTTAGTTTTCTTGAATTATATAATGAAGACTTGTTTGATCTTCTATCACCTAGTAATGATTCGTCTAAAATAAGGTATGTACTAATATAAAAGTAATATCTAATTATGTCATTAATTTCTTTTATTTACTTAAAATGTAAAAAACTAATATATCTAAGATGACATTAATTAATAGATTATATGAAGATGTATCTAAAAAGGGCGCAATAATTATACATGGATTGGAAGAAGTAACAATACACAACACAAATGAAGTTTATAAAATTCTTAAAAAGGGATCAGAAAAGAGGCAAACAGCTGCAACATTGATGAATACTCAATCTAGGTCATTATTTTATATATATGTTTGAAAATTAAAATAAATAATTAGTGGTAGGAGATACAAGGGAAAGTAAGAATATTTTTACTACTTTCATACAAAATTATTTTATATTTATGCTTTCTGTAATTATAAACAGCATTTGATAAACAATATCTTTTAAGTATCATTAATTAATATGTAATTACAATGTTAAAGTAAAAATTCATTGTTTAAAAGATGTTGAATATTTGGAAATATTACTTACTTTTTTATACTATTCTCAATATAACAAGTAATAAAGAAATTTTCTTATTTTTCCACTACATTTTATTAATTATTTCAGATGCTTATAAACACTTCATAAATCATATACTTTTATTATCTGAAATATGTCATTCATTATTTTAACATACAAAATTTTTCAAATATTATTATAGCCGATCTCATGCAATATTTTCAATTACTGTACATATAAAAGAAAATGTTATTGATGGGGAAGAGATCCTAAAAACAGGAAAATTAAATTTGGTGGATCTAGCTGGTAGTGAAAATGTTGGAAAATCTGGTGCTGTTGACAGGAGAGCAAGAGAAGCTGGTAACATTAATCAGTCTTTATTAACTCTCGGTAGAGTTATAACAGCTCTTGTTGAAAGAGCTCCTCATATACCTTACCGGTAACAAATACAAATATTTTGTTTTTTTATTATAAAATTTATAATATAATTTATTATATTATTATCCTTCATACTGCATAGAGAATCCAAACTCACAAGACTACTACAGGAATCATTAGGTGGTCGTACAAAAACGTCGATTATTGCAACTATATCTCCTGCTAGTATTAATCTTGAGGAAACATTATCTACGCTAGATTATGCACATCGCGCAAAAAATATTACTAACCGCCCAGAAATAAATCAAAAACTTTCAAAACGGGAATTTCTGAAACAATATACAGAAGAAATTGAAAAACTGCGGAGAGACTTATTCGCTACACGCGAAAGAAATGGTGTTTATCTTGCAGATGATAACTATAAAGAAATGCAAACATTAATATCACGACAAACTAAAGAAATAGAAGAAAAAATTAATCGTATAAAAGCACTTGAAAAAACTATGCAAGACAAGGAGGTACATTTTTATTAAGAAATTTTATTAATCATTCTCTACTGTGACTGCTTTTTATAATTTTAATATAATATTTTCCTTTTATTCTTTAGAAAATATACAATGAACTTGAATTGCAAAACGTAGCACAGACAAAAGAATTACATGAAGTCAAAAATAAATTAAGTAATGTTACTACTGCACTTAAATCGACAAATCATCGATTAAAATTGAACGCGCAAGAACGAGATGAACAAAAGTATTTAATAGAAAAACATATAAATACAGAACAGTCTTTATTATCTCAAGCTCAGTCTTTACTAGGTGTTGCAGATACAGCAGTAACAGATTCATATAAATTACACGATAAAATTGAACGAAAAAGGTTTGTCCATTATATTTACACTTTTTAAAGTATGTAAATGCTAATTTTTAAGCATATAAAGTTTTTGATATAAAGATAATAATTTTTTTGTAATTTTGCTTTCCAGTGAAACAGAGAAAAAATTTGAAGTTCTCGGTGAAACTTTTAAAAACAATGTTATTAAAGGTTTCCAAAATATTGAAAAAGATGTCTCAATGTGTGGTACAAAATTAAAGGAATTTTTTACATCAATGAAAAATGATCATGGTAACAATAGTTTCTATACTCAATATATTATTTATTTCTCGTTATCTTTACACTATCTATTAATTTTTATTTCTTTTTTTCTATTAAATACAGAAACATCTATTAAATTTGATGGTATTGACATGTCAATACATCAATTTGGAACAAATGTTCCTAATCAGTCTGATACTAATAATTTAATGAAAAGTATAAATAAATTTGTACGTATTTGTTAAGTTTTATAAAATTAAAAATTTTATATTAATGTTTTCTTATTCCTAATTATTAAAAGTTATAATATATTTCTTTTTCCTTTTGTGTCATAGTATTCAGATTATCAAAATTGGATAAGAAATGAAGTAAAAAATACAATAAGTACAATAGAATCTGAACATGAATTAATGAGTGTCGTTTTTTTGAAATTGGCTCAAAACATCGACAATATAATAGAAAATGAAATAATTAAAAACTTACAAATTATAACAAATAATGTATCTGAGAAATTGAAACAAACTTTAACTCTTGTAAACGAAACGATAGATTCTACTTGTAATTATAAACTGGAAACTTATGATTATGTGTTTAAAAATGTTAAGATCATTACGGAAAATATCGAAATGCTTTATAAAAAGCAAGAATTTAGTGAAAAGGAACTTTTATTTTCTCAAGTATGAAAAATATAATTTTTTATTGAATTATTTTAGTTTCAGAATTACCGAACTATTATGTTTTTTAGATGATGGAAAGTGTATTTTCTCAGTTCAACAACTTAAATAAAAGTCGAAAAGAGTACTACTCTACTGTCGCTAATAAATGTGATTGTGTTCACAAAATTTGTAATGAAGCTAATGAGCAAATAACAAATAATTCTGATATGAATGTTAAAATGAGTAACAAATTAAAAGAACACATACGAAGAGATATAGAAAAAATTGAAGATAATCTTCTTCTTGGGACAAAACATGTAATTTTCATGTGTGATTTATCATTTTTTATTTAGCAAAAAAGTTTATTTTTTTGTACGTTTTCCAAGAAAAAAAAATATTAGTATTAATTTGTAATGTGTTATATTTTATTTTACCAATAGACCGAAGAAATTGTATATAGAACTACAGAACAAGGAAAAGATTTGATAAATGACTTAAATTCGAATGTAAATGAAAGCTGTAACATATTGAAGCAATATAACGGTATTATTGAATGCGATATTAAGGAAATGCAGGGGAAAATGGATGTAGATAAGAATATAATACTTTCGTTAATCAATGTAAAATTATTAACAGTTTTTAATTTTGTTTATAATAAAATATTAAATGTCAACTTTAACATATATAATTTCATTGTTATAGGATGCACATAAAGTAACTTCAAATGTTACTGAAAACCATACAAAATGCGTGAACGATAAAAGAGTTAAAACTTGTGATATTTTTCAAGAAATATGCACGAAATTGGACAATCAAATGATGGAATCTTGTGTGTGGACTGATGATGTTGTCAACCAAATACAATCAACAGTTAATAAAATTAACAAATTTTTTGATGAGGATGTACAACGTGATATTCCAACAGGTTTATTTTCATATGTAAATTTGAAAACAAAAAGAAAAAAAGGAATGAATACGCATAAATAATTTATTATATGAACTTTTTTGTAGGAATGACTCCAGCTAAGAAAAATTTTTCTTATCCTCGCCAATTTACTGTAACTTCACCGCATGAACGAATTCTACAAAGAGCTAGGGAAGCTGGGCAATTTCTCGAAACAGCAGAAAATGATGTAAGTAGTATACATGATAAAATCTATTTTATATGCTTTTAACATTATATAACATTTTTATATTATTATGTTTCATATATGATAAGTATATACAAGAAGATACATCCATAAATGGTGAAATAACAATGAAGCAAATTGCAAATTCAACAACATTATCTGAAATTACACTTGTATCTTCTTCAATTGATAATACATTATTTACTTCATCAATATTAAATAATGATATATTATCAAAACACACAAGCTCTTGTTCTATGAATTCTAAGATTGAAAATATTACACAAACTTCAGACGTTTCTTCAATATCTATGCAATCCCATATTCAATCTGAAGCACCAAATTATGCAAGGGTAAAGACTTGTCATCAATGATACCTATATTTCTTTACTTATTTTCCATAATATTTATAATATGATTAGTAAATAATTTGTAATTTACTACTTAGAAATTATTCTTATAGGATGAAAATAAAGAGAATGATTATGGTATCATCACACATCAAAATGGAAAACGCTTGGGGCACATATCTGATACTTAATTTTCTTTAAAACTTAACAACTTTTACATGAAGACATGATTGTAACATTCTACAATCTTTATTTTGTATATTCGTTGCAATTATAAACATATGAAGTATTTCACGAAGTTCATAAAATATGATGTTTATTAAGTATTTACATAAAAATAAAATCATATTAAATCTTTTCTTTTATTTCCTAATGTAATACAATCAAACATTTTAATATAAGTCATTATTTAATATCTAACATACTTTAATAAATTAAAATTTACATTTGATATATATTTTAGTTGTATTTGTTATATATTGTGAACGATTTAAAATTTTTAAATATCTATTCTTTTTACTATATTTTACATAATATTTGTAACATTTTTTAAGGGAGTATTTTAGTGCAACATTATCTCTGAAAATTTCTTGCAAAAAAGCAGCAAAATTTTTGCATATTTTCTAATAGAAGATTCTTAATTCATATTGGCGAGTGTCAGAACTGCGTAGTAACAAATCGAGCGATTGTTGGCGCGAGTGATGTGTCAAAACGATATGAAAGTGGATCGAGCATGAAGAACGAATGAGTCCCTAAAACAGAATTTTCGGTCGCTTGCAATGCGTAGTATAAATGGATATAAAAAGGGATGCCAAGGAATGCGAGAGTCAGTGCTAGTTGAGAGTGCAAGTAAGCTTTGCCAGTCAGTGTGAAGAGTCGGTTACGAGAGTTAGTTTGAACAATCTATTTTGTATTTTATTTTATGTATAATAAATATTATAATCGTTAAAGAAAGAAAGTTCTGTCACTGCTGCCATTCCTACAATATCTTTTTATGCAAAATTTGATGACTTGTCCGAATTAAAAAAAAAAAATATTAGACATTTCATTTAAAAAACTGAAAATGACCCTAATATCTCACTAAAAGAGCAAAGTAATAAAAAACAGATTAGGAGACACTGTGTGTCTCCTTAGATACCATGCAACTTTTGTTTGAAACATTTTTTCACACAACGAATAACTTACGAGTACTTCCAGAACATTTTACTTATAAAACAATAATAGCTATTTCTACGATTATAAAGCTCAAAGACACATTCTTCTATATATTATTTTAAGCGATCTACAAAAAATTTACTTACTATTAGGAGAATATCTACTTTATAAATTAAGGTTATGCAGATATATATATGTATGTGTGGGGAGAGAGAAAAGAAGAGAGAAAATTAGAAAATTTAAAAAAAATAGCAATGCTTTCTGTACAAACTGTGTTTTGAAAGTAAAGAAGCTTTGGTAATGTCACAGAGGTAGAAAAGTAGGATATTCTTCTGAATGACACCCCCAGCCGATCTACGAAATTTGGAAAGAAGAGGTAATCAAGTTCCGAGATACAAATAAAGAACTTTTACCATCGAATGTATCAACTGTGCTTGTGATGTCTTATGGACACATGCATATAGATGGGATTTAATTGCATGATGTCAAGTATTTTTCGCAAATATCTCGAAAACTAAGATCGAGTTAGGTCTTTTACCATAATTGGTAAAAGAAAAAGTTGTTCAAAATACCGCCCTTTATAACATATTTCAAAATCATCGAAATCGAAAATGAGCTAGCTCATCGACAAGATTTATCAATTATGTATATATATTCAACACGCCTCATAATTTCATCTTTATTATGTGTTTATATTTGTAAGTAAACAGTAAATCGGTGAACTGAAAAGTTTTTTATTCGTATCTCAGAAACTATTAAATTCCTGAACTTAAAATTTTATATTTGGCAAACACTCTTCATTCCCTTTTATCCTTTTAAATTTCGTATCGATCAGCCCTGGGTGTCATTTGAAAGTACAGTCAAAAAATATGTACTTACTGTGTAGAGTTGGAAAGATGATTAGTAGCACAGCATACAGGAGCACACAGGACTTTTCGCTTCACCTTTAATGCCTTCGAAACTCTATTTTTACATTTTTAACGACATACACTACATAATAGTAAGATAAATTTTATCGACATGGTTTTGTTTTATATTATTAATCAACACTTATTTTGTTTACATTACTGCTTTATCTTACTTATTTGCTCTATTTCATTCGTATCCTATTCACTTTTTATCACGCGCTATATGTTCTGATTTTAGATATAACATTTTTTATCAATAATGAAAATTTGTGTGTCCTATCTTTGTAATAATTTATCATACATAATTTATTATAATAAATTATGTGAGAGAAATTGATCTTATTATGGATATTCTAGCCTCTTTTAAAGGCTTTGTTTCGATCTCTTCATAATATATACAGAATGTTATTGAAGAGTTATTGAAAACATGTTCTATAAAATTAATATCGTACAATACGTATTGTATCATACTTTTCATAAGTATAGAAGGTGGTAAAAAATCAATTGTTCTTTTAACACGTTGATCACTCACAAATCTCCTTTCAGACAATTTTATTCGGCTTTCACTTATGTCAGATCAATACTTTATAAATTACCATTGCATGAAAAATTTCAAATTGTGAAGAGATGTATAAATTCTTTACTTATAAATGGTGCAAAGAAAATGAAAGTTTAATTTTTACTTTTATAAAAAATTAAAGTAAACACTTTTATTCTTCTCCAATTTTTTCAATTTAAGCGCCGTTCTGCTGGACTACACAATGAAACTAATTACAAATTACAAATTTCGGATACAATTTCTTTTACTACGCTTGAAGAATGTTCGGCAGTGAATAAGAAAACGGTAAGAATAAAACAGATCCGTGTCTTATTCGCAACGCGTTAAATATTTTAAATATTTTATTCAAAAGTGGAAACCGCTTGACTAAAATAAGATGAAATTCCAGAATGTATAAAATAGTTGTACTTTTGTTTATATGTATTACATTTTCTTAAAAAGATGGATTACGTTCTTCAATATTAGTGACAAAAATTTCGTTGATTGAAGTACTTGAACACGTTAACTTTTACAAAGTTGTAGATGTTGCCGAATTATTCGTAATACTGTCATATGCGAGATTCTTAATCGACGAGCAGTACCATGTGAACCCATAAATAACCGATAACCTCCTTTTCTTGCTCTAATGGTTTTAAGGTCGACTTACATTGCGATATTTAATAAGATAATGTAATAATAATTCATAATCTCCACAGTGTTGAACTAGCTACTGACAATTTAAAATATTTCCTGGTCAAAATTGTTACTGATTTACAATATATTTTGCAAGCTACAGATTATGTTTTTGTTGATTCTTCAATAACATGAAACATTTGATAATCATTTCTGTATTGAGTATAACAACATTGCATCACAATATGAATCCTTTCCTCACTGACAATGAGTACATACCAATAACAAACTGATCATAAATAGTGTATTAATATATATTGTTAAACAGCCAAACGTTGTAACTGATTATTTACTTTGTATGAATTATACGCAGTAGTAGGAATAAAATTTTGTTAATATCTTGAAAACTAAAGCCAGTCTAATAATATTATAATGAAAAAGTTGTTCAAAATTTTGTCCTTTTTAATATATTTCAAGGTCATCAAAATCTGGGAAGACCCAGTTAATACTGAACTTGGCCAATTAATGTTGTCTAATTAGGTTAGGTCGGATTCGAGCAGTTTCTGGTCGTCATCAGGCGATCGGTCACGTAAGCCGTATAATGATTTTTTTGAACTACCTCTTATAACGTTCGTCTTCCAGTCGCTACAATGTTCTATATAAACATAATTAAATGAGCGGTGATTCCTTACAATGTGTCCATGACATACACATATATGTAACAACCAAAGTAGTAGTATCAACAATTTGCAAATAAATGTTGCTAGGAACCTCATTCTTTATAACATACTTCAAAATCATCGAAATCAATCCATGTTTTTTGCAGTGTTTTTAATTCTATGTTTTTCCAAAAAAGTTAATGAAAACATTATTTTGTTAATTTATGTTTCTTTTTAATGTTAAAATATAGCTCTTATGAAAAAAAATAAAGACAATTAGAGTAAAGTTGCTAAAGTAAATTTTCATTTTTTTGTTCTTTTTCTTAGTCTTATAAGAACGCTTCAGAGGCTGTTATAGACACAGAATGTAATTTGTACTCTAAAAATAAATAAGCATAGTAGTGATGAATATGCAAGTCGACATAAAATAGAATTCGTAGGCGATCTTTAGATTACGTAAACCGATGACTTATAACATCGTACGTACTCATCCAGGTTCATGTAAGATTCTGTTATTTTTCTCAAAAATGATTATATTTTATACATGCATATACATATGTATGTATATATATTTACAGTCTCAATATGACCGTGATTGATGTCACGAACGTTTAATAATTGGTTGCAGATGCATATATTTTCTTTTTATCCTTTTCCTGCGTTCTCTTCCTGAAACATTTTATACAGACTATAGTGATTCTCAGATGCGAAAGACGCAAAGAGAAACGAAAGGCAACGTAACAGATTTGAACAATCCTTAGCCAAATATGGTCCAGGAATTATATCTGCCTGAGCGCAATATATATTCAAAATATCGATGTTATGTGTTTTACAACTTATAATTCACATGTTAACGTACAATTAGCTGCATTTTTCATCAACTCACACGAGTCATGCAATTTACCATTATATTCGACTTTGGTTGGAAATAGAAAAAATTTGTAAAAAAAAAAAACTAATTGATATAGGAAAATCTATTTTCGTACAACTTTACATTTTCATAGGTGCATTAAAACATGCAAATTTACCTTCTTTTCTTAATGGAATTTGATGTTTTTATATATATCATTTTATTGGAATATTTTAAAATATATCAGGATATGATATTCAGAAAATCAACACTTCATGAGATATTCCAATTTTTTAATAATTCGCATGTTTTGTTGAAGATATTCTACAAATGTTAATTTTAAATACTTGTGGACATAAAATATATTAATAATTAACAACATTCACTCCGATAAGATAAAAAAAGTTCATATATTCACTTGTTTTATACTTGGCAACAGAAATGTTGT